CAGGCATCTTTTAATATGCAGCTCTTTTTATTTGAGGTGAGTTAGGTCGTAGAAATTGCCCTATTTTCATATTATGACCTAACGTGCTGAATTTCAGTAAAACAAAATTGTATTGAAACTTTCTGCACAATTTGTTTAATTCTAGAAATAATATTTGATTTTGTTACTTGTACAAATAAGCAGTTTTTTTTATAAATCCATTTTTGGTTTGTAAATGATATTTGACTACATTTTAAAAAAAGACATTTCAGGACATTTGGTTACACCAATAATACATCTGTAATACTGAAAATTGAGTTTGTATAGCATTAGAAAAGATTGATTGTACCTTGGCTGGATCATTTTAAATTCCTCTGGGTATCTGATAATCTTAAAAAAAAATACCCCAAGTCCAGTTTGTTTGCTAAGTGCTACAATTGTTTTTAAAGCATTTTAGACCCATTATTCACATGTCCAAATGTTTGTATATTATTCTACAATATCTCAAAGTGGGTTTAAGGTATCATTTTCTATGTAATTATACTAATGTAGCTTCAATACAATTTTTGGTCTTACTAAGATGTATGGTTAGTTGTCATAAACACTGGACACATAGTGAACAAATGTCACAGGTTTGTTGTATTGCATGTTCTCATGCCATTTCTTCATCAATGTTTTGTAATTTTAAGTTGCATTTTGTTAGGTTTAGCAGCGTATGTAGCAACCATTTTGAAGCTAAACCTTGCATTTGCCTGCTTTGGAAGAAATGATGAGTCTTTAAAATTCTACTTTTTATGTGATTAAATAGGAAAACAGATTATTCTGGCGTTTGTTTAACTGTTTTATGAAAAGCCATTTTTATCACAATAAATGCTATATAAAGCCCTGTATAGAATCGGCAGACAAGTGTGAGGCTAATGTATTTGTTGAGGAATAGTTTTATGGCAAAAGTATTTTTTATTAAATACTTTTTTCAAGTGTAAATGTTTTATTTCCTGAGAAATTAGCAGTGAATGGCCGAAGTTCTTTCTCCCTTCTCCACATGTGGAAATCAATGGATGATACACACTGGTGATGTTGACAATGGATGTGCATTGAGTGGCAAAACAACATTACTTGCTTTACTTCATCAATAAAATCAATACCTTGTCTATGAGAAGCGGTCTTCTGCTATTCTTGATTTTTTCTGAGGAAATAAGGTGTTGCATGAAATGTATACAATTGAAGTGTAAATAGAATGGTTGGAATTATGTAATTTTGTGGCAAGGTAGTTTTTTATTTTCATAAAAATTATCTTGCAAGGCACTTTAACAGATTTATCAGTTATGAAAATACTCTGTAAATCTGTGTTTAGAAGAATGTTTTCTATGTATGATTCGTGCACAAGTATTTTCTGAATTTCTATGGCTGAATGTTATCCTTCTTGCTATTTTTTTCCACTGGTTTCAGTTCTTTCTATAACTTACTAGGCCTTGACACACTTAAAAATAATACGATCTTCCTATCCACTTTTCTGGTTTCTTATGGATTCTCTGCTACTTTTATCTTTGTTTTTATAACTTTTTTCACCCCAGTCATTTCATGTTTTTATTTCCTGCTTGTCTTGTCTCTCTGTTTTGTGTACAAGAATTAATATGGGGGTGTTTGTGTATAAATATGGTCTGTTTGTAAAACAGATTGATGTGAATTATCAGATTGACTTCTGTAGGGTTTATACTTGTACTGCTATAATACAATCAGACTTTGGATTTCAGTTGTTAGATTTGGGCTTTTAACCAACACAGTATTTTCATAGGCAAGAATGTTATTAGAATCTGGACAACAGTCCACAATTTGGGCACACTTCGGGAAGTTGTGCATTACTATTCTAGGAACCAAAAAAATTGATGCAATTCACTGCTTTGGGTTTTGTTTAAAAGCTAATTTTATATTGAAGGTTTTTGTTTACATTGGTTTCAACTGTTAATTTGTCCACTTATTTAGGAACCTTCCATTTTTGAGATGACTATATTGTAATCTTGTGATGAACTTAACTATGGAAATTTGTACAACTGTTTTAATATCTGTATCATTTCCTTGATGTATATTACCCAACATTCTTTCTTAATGGTTTATGATTCTGGAAAAAAAGACATTCTAAATGATATTTGGAGATCAGTCCATCTGTGAGCATTCTGGACCTTATGCACATAGCTACTTGGTTTGTGCAGAAGAAAGGAAAACAGTTCATACACTTGCCATCTAAACATTTTTTTCAAGGAGTTGCAGGGGATTTCATGCCCATGTTCTCTCTTATAATGTAGTCCTAGTTTGGTTTGGCCATTATAGGACCACTTGTGAATCTAATGGTCTATCCTAAATCAGTTAAAATCTGATAAAGGTTTCCTCCTTGCTCTAATGTCTGAGAAATGGTGTGTGAGCTGGAAAGAAAAATTTAAAATATTTTCATAGAAAATCAGAATCGTTACTCAGTTACCCCATTATTTAGAACTTAATTTTTTTAAATATCAATGACCTTGAAGGAAGTTTTTGTTAAATTTGGGTCAGTAACTCAAAACAATAAGGTTTAACAACCATCAATTTCTGTTGTGGGTAATTGGGCTGCAGAAAGAATATGTTTTTGGATTAGTTAACAGCAGTGAGAACTACAGAATGTTTGTCAACAGTAATAGTGAAAGTATTCACTCTGAGCCTCAGAAGCAAATATCTGTTTGTGATTTCTACACTAGTTGATGCCATTTTGAACTGGCTTTGCAACAGGGTAGCCAAGTAGCAAAAGATCATTTGCTCATTGCATTGTGCCCTCAGACGCAGTTCACACGTTTGTAAAGGTGCAATGTGCACAAGGTTTTAAAGTCATTTTTATGTGAGTTAATGAGATTCTATTTTGTTGTCACATATGATCCTGTTAAAATATTGAATTAATGCAACTTTAGGGTTTTCAAAGTGTATCTGTGTTGGTGCAAATTAAGGAAGTCCCTTGAGAAATGGAGCAGGATTAAAATGCTGCTTCATCAAAGTTGAGTGGAATACAGGTTTAATTATCTAAGAGATTTAGTTTTTAAAAAGTCAGGGTGAATAATTAAGGTAATGCAGAACTTGTATGTTTTGCAAACCTAATGGGAGTGCAACTTTTACAGTTTCTTGCAATATTAGATTGGTTCACTTGCAAAATTTGCAGTATGTGATACTTTTGAGCGTGAAGGGATTGCAGCAGTAGAAAATTAGTTGTATTCATTCCTGATGTATAAAGTGAAACTGTACCTGAAGTGAAGTGCAAAGAAAATGGAAAAGTTGCTCTTTGCTTGAGGTTACTATTGCTAATAACCCCAGGTTCATGGATAATGAACACAGCCTCTGGATAATTAATAATTTGCAGATTTTTTTTCCACACAGTAGGTTGCTGTCAGCAGCTTGAGTAAAGGCAAAGTATTTAAATCTGTCTTGTTTTCACTACTGCTTTGTAATAGAATTCACAATATAGAGAGCACGTTTGATTCACGGTACTGACAGCAGTTGTGGGGAATATTTTACAGGAACAAATAAGTTGAGGGACATGGGTAACGAGAATATTTTATTATGCAGTTAGGTTAGTTTGATTGAAAATAATTAAATAACTTTAGATGACAGTATTTTACGAGAAGCTAATGTAACTGACAGTAAGCAATGTACACATATGCATGTCTGATTACAAGGACGTATTTCTTGTTAATTTTCTGTAAGTTGCTATATCTTTTCCAACAAATGCCTGTTTTTATTGAAAATGTGTTGTTGAAATATTGAAAGGGCAACATTTCCAAATGAATGATCCAAAGTTGATATTTAACCTATGGTCAGAAACCACACTTTCTAGATTTTAATACTGTATCAACTTTTCATTTTGATGTGAAGTCATTCTCCTTCATTGTTCCAAAGATGGCCCCAATTTTCTTTGTACTTTCGGCTTTCTATTTCAAGAATTCATATTTTGTGATATTTGTATGCAAGCCATTAGAGTAATTGCTGTATAAATAACACATTTTTACTTAGTATGAGTTCAATATAATGTACCTGTTCTTACAGAACAGTAAACACATGAAGGTTTACAGCTTGTTAGTTATTTTGTTTGATCACTTTGCAGTAAATACTTTGAAAACACAAAATGTAAGTAGGCTTTTTAATGTATCAAACTGACAGGTTTAGAAACTCTGAGAACTAGTGACTGGAACCTCCCTGTCTCTCCGACCTGCTTACCTCCAACCCACAACTCGCTGCCTCCGCTCGACTGCTCCAGCCTTCTGCATGTCCCTTGTGCCCTCCATTCCACCATTGGCAGCTGGGCTTTCAGCCACTATGCTCCAGAACACTCTTCCCGTATCCCTCCGCCTGTCCCTTCCTTCCCCATCTTCAGGTCGCATTTGAAGCCCTTGCTCTTCGAACGTGCCTGCAGTCGCCTCCCCTTCCCCCCGGCTCAGCATCGTGCTCCGCCACTGCCAAGTGCTTTTGAGACACTACCCTGTGTGAGAGGCGCTGTATAAATGCAAGTTGTTGTGGTGGGCGAGGAGTCTTGACAGTTTTCCCTTTGGTGAAAGGTCACAAATTTGGCCCATTCTTATTTATGAAACGTTTTCTAACAACTAGGCTTGGTGGTTCAATATTGCCATAGTTAAAATAGTTTATTTTTTAAAAAAATGTGGTTTACATCTAACTGACTGCAAAGTACTTTTGACTTGTGTTAACTAGTTAATTTACTGTTGTTTGCTCTAATATTGGTCTTGAAAATGCATATTGTTTGGAATGTCTGAAATTAATTGTTGCAAAAGATATTTATGCATATGTATTCTGAAAGCCTGGTAACTAAACTCTGCTCTATGTAGTATTTTAAATAATGAAAAATTGCTGTTCACGTTACCGATATTAATATGCATGACTTTAATGTATACATAAGTTAAATCAATTCATTAGAATATTGGTGTGAAATATGCACAAATGTAAATTCAGGGAAGAGCAAAATCTACATCATGAATTTTGACGCATTACAGTTGTCTGAAGAGGAACATCTCGCAAGATCAAAAGAACAGCAAGGCTCTTCACAGAAAAGACTGCCCTTTATCCCTCTGTTGGAATTTCATGGTTGAACAGGAATTCTCAGGCTACGTGGTTAAATGGAGCAACAGTAATGAATAAAGCAAATCCACTGTAATGGTAACTGATTGCTCTACTTTTTTTTATGTTGCTTGATTAACCATTTTATTTGGACACAACCTGTGTGACTTAAAAGTTACTAAAAGCTTTGGCATCCCTATTCATATTCTAAGCGTTAGATGTCCATGATGTGTATACAATTAAAAGTTGTTAGCTTCACTGAATGTTTTTATAGTTCTTTCATCTTGTTACCAAAATTGTTACAAAAAATGTTAATGTTCAAATAATGACTGTAAGCAGCTCAGTTTCAGTTTACCTAAATAGATGTACTATTAGTGTTGTAATAAACTGTTAAATGGAGCCTGCAGTTGTGTAGATTATGGAAGTTCTCGGATTCAGTTTCTTTAAAGAATGTTGAATCTTTTGAAAGTTGTATGTTGTGGTGTATTCATTGACAAACTCCAGCATTTGTATAATTTGCTCTTCTTGGATACTTAAGAATTTTGGTTTGGTGCTTCTTTTGGTTGATTACCTTCCATTGCAGTTTAATAGAGGTGTATCTTTGCGATAAGAGTAATCAGTGATGGTTAAATGAGCACATTTAAAATCTTTCAGTCAGTATCTTAGACATACAAATCAGAGCATTACATTCTTTAACATGTTTTTTTTGTATGTCTAAACATGATGAATTCCGATTCCTGTGGAAACAAAATTAAGAACCACTTATTTTAAATTCCAACTCAGCAAAATATTGGAAGGGGGAACAGATGGTATGCTTCTGAAATGTTAAAAGCATTGCATTGTATATTAATGCAGGATATTTAATTGGGATAGCAAATATTTTGCCTTTACTAATCTGAACACAGTACAAGACAATTCGAATGTAGATAATAGAAGCTCATATTTAAATTGTTCTTGTAGTATTTGAGAATGAAAGTTCTGTATCTGTTTATTTTGCTTAAATAATTTGCTTTTGGAAAAAACACCAAAACCTCTGCACACTGCTTTTAGTTTTCAAGGGAAGACACAGTTAATTTTTTGTGCTTTGTAGCCTTGTGTTTTTTTAATTAGGTAATGTTTTTGTATGTACGTTTAAAAAGGCAGTTTGTGTAGATTACATTTTGATGGTTTTAATCTACAAAAAACAAGTTGGTACAAAGGATATTACAGCATTAACTTTCTGTTTAAAAGTACTGACTATTTGCACTGCATAGTCTTAAAATGATCAATATGTGAAACTTGAGACCACTTTCAGCCAAATGCAAACAATGTTTAATTTATAAAGGTATGAATGGTTTGGTCTAAAGCACGTCTGTTCGTTGGAAAATGGTATGTGTTTTAACAGATCGACAGAGTAATAATGATAGTTCTGTGGTCAACTTGTTTCTCCAGTGGTAATATTGGATTCCTTTTTAGAGGCCCCAGGTTTGGGTAATAACCTTGACTGAACTTTGGTCTCAGGTTCTGTCAGTCATACCCAGGCCATTGGATACAAGTGCCTTGTGGTATTGTGCCAAAATTAAGCAGTAGGCCTTTCCTTTACAACAATATGTTTAGTAGGTTGGAGCACTATTAATGCATCCATGGAGTTGACTTTTTTGCTAGACAAATAATACAAATGTGGGGAAATGGAAGTGTGAAGAGAAGGGGAAATTGTTTTTCTTATTATAATCACTATTCATAGTCTTTCCAAAGGTCAGTAAAACTAGATGTGTTGAATCCTAGACTAGTCAAACTCATCTATTCTCAGTTACGCAGCAATACCTAGTTTCATTTTTTTTGTTTAGCTCTTCCCTACCTGTCCCACACAGAAAATATCAGCATTAGTTGTAGCCATAGAATATCAATCAGTATCGTGTATGTCCCTTACAGTTTGAAAAATTCCAATGTGCAATTTATCTGGATATGTATTTTTGGAAAGTCAATTTAATTCCTTATGTTTCATCAATGAATAGATGGTTGAATGTTATTGTAAAATGTACAAATTAGTATCTCTTCCTAAAGGACACTTCCATGTCTGTTCCAATTTCTTTTAATTCTAAAAGTGATAACTTCATTTTTGTTGCACTTGTCCTCAGCTGTAAATCTGAGTTGCTTCAATCTGTGTGAATGTTTGGCTGGGTGTAGGTAAATTAATTGTTGGTCAAACCTAGAAAATGACTATTGTGTGAAATAACTTTGCTGATTAACACAAAAAGCAAAAAAAAACTGTTCTAGTTTGGGGAGTATCTTTTTTAAAATGATAAATATGCTTATAAGATAGCTGTGTAAATATTTACCTAAAAGCCCAGGATGTACAAATGAGGAATCTCCATTCTACAGGTTTTAGATTTTCAATTCATTTACCTTCGAAACATGCATTTTTTTTAAAAAAATCACCATCAGGTAAGTAAAAAAAAAGTTCAAAGCTAAATTGTGGACACCTTGTACTATTTAGTATTTAAATTAATGGTTTAAGCACATTTTTGTTAACAGATTTTTAAACTGCAGTTTTTTAAATAAAGGGTTTTTATATAAAATTAAAGTTTTGTTTTTAAGTTATTTATTGTTGTATCTGCCTGTTTGAATGTTTAGTAAAGCATAAATGCATGCATCAAGATTGAATTCTAAAAGTTTTACCTAACATTGTAGATGCAATACCACGTTATATGTATTGGATTTTTAATGAAACTAAATAGTTCACATCGTTTTTCAAAAGAAATCACATTTGTACCCCAAATTAATATATAATTATTTAAACACTACTTCTGATGTGAAAGGTCAGGGCACCAAAATTAATTTTAATCTACAGTTTGTACTATAGATACTGAGTTAGGGTTAGGGTGCATGTCTCTTTTATTTCTGCCTGTTACTCATTTGGAATGAGACAACACTTCATAATGCTTCACGGTTTAATGAAAGGTACATGTAAATTCAACATTTCATTGCTTTAATCAATTCAAACCTATGCATTGCAGTAAGATGTGTTTACTTGACTTAACCTGCTATTTCTGGCAAAAATAAATCAGTAAATTTCCATTAATGTTTGTAATGGGCCCAACATATCTAGTTTGACATGTGTGTAGGGCATTTCTCAAACCCAGTTATTTGTTAACAATTTTAGGAAATCCTTGTTAAATTTAACCATTTTCATTTACTTCTGTTGAAAGGAAGTTTATTTTGTTGCTAGAGACAAAGCCTTTTTAACCTATTGTATTCCCCTTTTTACTTCAGTAGAAGTACATTTCCATGGGGTACATTTGCACGTGGGTACATTTGACCCACATGCCTAATTGACTATGGAGAGGGCTTATCTTTAATCAACTATACACACAATCTTTTCAGCAGTTGTCAATAGATACCAATCCGGAACAGAATCCTTTCCCTAACCCTCAGGCACAGAGGAATTTTTCTGCACATTGGATCCTAATGTAAACCAATTATCAAAGTTATCCCAGCTCATTCATAATTCATATTAGTGCTCCCCTAACTCATCGGTCTTCGGCAGGAATGTTAATTGGGGTCCAGGACACTTGTATTTCAATATTGTTCTGAGCAGGTTGTAGTTAAGACTCATTACATGTGTTAAAAACTTGAATCAAAGTAGTCACAGTAAGCATTTCAAAGTTAGCATTAAGTTATTCGATGTGAAGGTGTATCATGCATCTTTACCCATGTGTAAACAAGGTCATACTGAATTTTTTCCAAAAGTCTTTTTAAAAAAGCGAAACATTTAAGTAATATTTACATTTATAGTTAATGTTTTAATTTCTCCAACAATACAGTAAAATGGGGGCACGTTTTTACCAATTACTACAAACTACAAGCAATTTGGAGATGCAGAACATTTTTCGGATTTTATTTTGATTAACAAATTTTGCTAAGAGTTCATTTGTATTACTCTAACCATTGAATGTAAGTTGGTTTTAATGTGTTGGATTGGGGTACTGCAGAACTTTGTAGCATAAATTGGATCTCATCTAACTGTTGAAGTGCAATTGTATTTCATAAAGGATTTGCTGAGGAACGCCCAAGCTGAAATTCTGTAAGTATGGACTTTTTTCAGTTTAATTTTTTAAGTTAGAACATGAGAAACTGACATAGATGAAGAATGAAGTACAACTTTATGTGGATAAACTTTTTCTTTTCAGGTCTCTAAATATAGGTTTCAATTTGTTTCATTTGATAGGACTCTCACCTCTAGGCTCCACTGGCTCCCTATCACAGATCGATTTAAAAATCCTCACACTCGTTTATAAATAATGTCATGCCCTGGCACTTCCCTTCCTGTCCGACTTGCTTACACCCCACTCGACTGCTAGCTATCTCCGCTCAACTGGCTCCGGCGTCCTTCACATCCTGAGCAAGCGAGAGACCTGAGTTCAATTCCAGGCAGAGGGCGAAACCTTGGGCAAGTTTCCTTACTCCACACAGAGCCTAATAATAATCCCTCCAAAACCAAAAACAATAATAAATTGGTCATTTTCAATCTACGACTGTTTGTGGGACATTGCTGTGCGCAATTGGCTGCCGCGTTCGCCCACAAATATACAGTCAATTCACTTTACAGTGTGTTCTGTGAAGCGCTTTGGGACGTCCTCCAGACGTGAAAAGCGCTATATCAAATGCAAGGATTATTATTATTATTATTATCCCTCGTTCCCTCCTCCATCAGCAGCTGTACCTTCAGCCATTACGCTCCAAAACTATGGAACTCTCTTCCTTAATCCCTCCTCCTCCGCTGTCTTTAGATCACACCTGAACACCTTGCTCTTCAACCATGCTTACGGTCACCTTTCCCCAAATCCGCCACCGTTAAGCGCTCCGAGATGCTAACCCATGTACAAGGCACAATATAGACGCAAGTTGTCGTTGAATACATGGTTTTCCTTGGCTCCTTCCTCAAAGTTTATTCTGGGTTAATTGTTCCATGATCCTGCACAAATAAAACTTATTTCAAAAGAACGTATATCTGAATAAGTATTTGTTTCACTGTTTTATAGCCATTAATCTTTCTTTACAGTTTTTTTCTATAGATAACATTTGTATGCCATATCAATTCAGACAGAGCTTGAAGAGGAGTGCATTGTATGATTTTCATAAAACAGAATTTCAGGAAAACCAAATGGTTTTGTGAAGAGCAAAAATTATTTTTTTTGAAAAACCATATATTTATATATAATCCACACATTGTGCATCATACAAATATATAGACTAGCAAATTATTGTTTTTAAGAAACATTCATATTTGTACTAATGCTCTAGATTGTTTAATTTAGAAACTGGCTTTCAACGTGGCTTAGTTCTAAATTCACAGTAACCTTAGCACAAGATCATCAGGGGATTCCCTGCTGACTGGGGTGTTTGAACGTGCTGTGTTGAAGATTCATTTAGCAGCTCAGATGATTCCAGTTGCTGACAGAGAATGTCTAGAACTTCCACTAGACGACTTGCATCTGCAACCGGAAAAATATTTATCTGCTCAGTATAATAATTTGTACAAAGAAAGTGAATACAAAAGGAAATGCATGTCTTGAGTACAAAAGTTTATTTTGTTAAACCTTTGTATTCTGTGAAGCAAATGTAAGCCTTTCCTAATATTTTCAATGTTTGAAATTTCAAATGGTTGGCGCAGCCCTTGGATGTGTGGAGTAAATGGTTGTAAGTTTGATCTCTTCCCTCGGCTGAGCTCCCAATATTGCCTCCGCCGAGGAAAGATGTGTGACTTTGACAGCTCTTCCCCAACACCCAAAGTAGAAAATCAAGGAATTTAAATAGTGTCAGTTTTACATGCAGCCTAGCATTTAGCATGTCATTGGTGGAGATTTAGTATAAGGCAGCCACCTTTCTTCCTTCTCCCCACCCCCTGCCCCCAGTTGAAGGAGAGACGTGGCCTAATGAGACCTTCACAGGGAATTCATACTTTCAAAAAAAAGGTATTTGCCATCTTTTGATTTTCAAATTGATTTTTGTGACTGATGGAATATTGTTAGGTTATAATTGTGTGCCACTATTGCTGCACAAAAAATGGGTAGATGAGGCAATTCTGGATTTATGGTCTACTTCAACCACTCTGGGATGCTACCCTGTGTGAGGGACACTATATAAATGCAACTTGTTTTTGTTGTTACTTACCGTAATAATTTACTTACCACAATAATTTGTCCCAAACAATTTTCTGAAATGTTCTGCTTTTTTTTAAAAAAATGAAACCGGGTGGATTTATTATGGAAATAATTGTAATACATCTTAATACCTTTTAGTAGAGAAAAATTCTCGTAAAGCAATGGTATTTTTTCTAAAAAAAATCTTTTGCATTTGACCCTCAACATTTTTATTACAATTATTATTTGTATTTTTGGTTCATCACTGATGCTTCATTTCTGATAGATTTTTTTTGGGTGGGGAGGGTTGCAGAAGTATCCTGGGCAGCATTGCAGTGAACCATACTTTCAGAACCTTAACTGCTACCACTAATGGTAAGTGCAACTAAACTATTCTAAGTACTCTTCCAATCCAAACCATTTGCTTATTGGACAAAATTATAGGTGTGTGTGAATACTTACTCCCATAATCATTTGACTTCCATTTTAACATTTTATGGTCTCCATGATCAATAACTGCACTTTTGGCATTTACAATACTGGAATTATTTGCAGATCAAATCAGAAGTTATAACTTGGGGAAGGTAGTCTGCTTAATTGAAAGACTGAAAAGCTGATCGATCACTTTAAAGCATAAATTAGTATTTTGACTATTAATTTATTAAGTTTCCATTGAATTTTTTCCTTTGCGAGATTGATGTACACTCACGTTTCAGTGTTGCATCTGTGATTTTTTATTTAATTTTTGAATTACAGGGTCTTATAATAAAGAAATAAAATCAATATCTACTTGTGTTGTATATTTCTTGCACAACATGTATACTAAAGTGTAAAGCTCAAAAACTAATATTCTCCATTTCTATAGAAGCACTTTTCCTTATAATTTTGCAATGGTATCACCTGTGCTACAAAATACACTACAATAAATCCTGTGAAGCACTTTGAAAGAACCTCTTGACTGAAAGGTGCTATATAAAATGTAATAATTATTTAGGAAAAAGGATGAGGCTATCCAGCCTGTTGAGCATTCTTCACCTTTTTATTAGGTTATGACAGCTCTTTTATTCCCATTTCCCTGTCTTT